CAATGGTCTAACGACTACGGCATGCACGACTATGAGTACACCCCCACCCGTTTCCGCTTTTTTTCCGCGTTGAATGCAACGAATGCCCCAGATGGACAAGCACTTCGCGGACATCCTCGCCGACAAGAAAAATAACTCCGACAAGCACGACCGACGCCACCACCACGGGGAAGCCAAGGCAAACACACCGCCACACGGGGGAGCCGAGAAGAGCGCATCGGCGGCAACATCATCCCGGGGTCGCGAGCATCGCCACGCGCACGACCGCCTAGGGGCGCAGAGCGTCGGGGTGGAGGTTGCGGAGAGGCCGATCGACTGGGCCAAGTTCACCTCGTGGCTCAAGGTAACCCAACCGGGGCGAGGTGTGCCAGGANGGGGGGGGGGGGGGGGGGGGTACACGAATACGTTCCACACACCTTTTAAGCGCGAGCACCCTTGCCCGACAACAGAAGGGCTGACAGAGAGCCTGTTTTCTCGCGTGTTTGTCCCCTCGCCCCGGGCACTTTTTCTCTCGATGCAGGGCTTCCTCGAGAAAGAAGGCGAGGAGTTGATCTGGAGACTGAAGGGGGTGTTGTGGACGACCGCCGCTAGCGGGAGCGGCGCCGCGACGACGTGGGGCTGGGGGGCTGGAAGGCGAACGGTAGTGCAGGTATGGGGTTAGTCGCACACGGCGACATTGTTGCGGTACATGGGGTACGTTGTCCAAATCGGAGAGGATGTTATGCCGGGAGGTGTGTGGCGCTGGTGCAGCAAAGGCAGTGTCTGTGTTTGGGACGGATGGCATAATTTTCGCTCGGCTTATTTCTGTCACAGCAGGAAGCAGGGAAAGACGATGCGCTGTGTCTTTCTCCTTCGAAATACATGCTTGTAGGTCGGCTGTCGACGCGCAAATACGTCGAACCGCTAACGAACCGCTAACCTTGTTGCGCTGTGTCTGAAACAACAACAACAACAACAACAACAACAACAACAACAACAACAACAGTCCTCAGCGCGCACCGCTGTGTTACCTTGTACGGCGTTTTCCTACATAACTAGGGGCTGTACGGCCACTTCGAGTCCGAGGTATCTGATTGGCCCGCTGGGGCAACACGCGTCTCTCGGATGGTGTTCATCGGCGACCTGTGTCCCAGGGTACAGGAGGCGCTGCAAAGGGGGGTCCGCTCGTGCGTTGCGTCACGCCGAGCCCGGCCACTGCCCCCGAAGCCGCGCGCTATCGCAGGAAGGGAGCGTGGTAGCGGTGTCGGCGGCGGTGGCGGTGGATTCGCTTCTCGCCTAGGGTCCGTCAAGTTTGGGGGAGGGGAAAATGATCTGTTCTTGTAGACCAAAGTGTTTTTCTCGCGGAGAGGGCAGGGTGGGAGCCGGAAGTTGGATAGATGAGAACCAAAAATAGGTACAAGTTTCTTGGCGCCACGTGATTGATGAATCTCGAGCAGGTTGGCAACAGCCCACCTTCCCTCTGGCAGAGACTAATAGCACCTTCTTGATTGCACCCGCGTTTAGACCTAGCGATGCGAAATCGCGTACTTTTGTGCACCAATGCGTAGACTCGGTTACACAACAGCAGCAGACCTGAGGTGGTTCAGTTGTTAGCCTCGCATGTTTTGTTACCTTCTGGGACGTGGGTTGGAATCTCGGCGCAGCAATCTGGATTTGTTCTTCCAATACATGTATGCCAAGTCAACGTGGAACGTCCACGTATTGTTTTGTGTGTACTGCTTACGCATGGACTTCAATTTCATCGTGTCGACAAAGAAAGGGACCAAAACGGCTGGCTCTTTTTGGCGATGACGTCACTAGCCGTGACTGGCTTCGACCCTCTCATCGGATGCCCACTCCTCTTCTCTGCCGATAGAAGGCAGCCAACGCATGAAGAAGGCGCAAAAGAAAAATAAACAGCCGGTGTGGCCTCCTGTTTGACCCCAGCCGATGAGGGAGTCAGAAAATATACCTGCGGTGAAAGATGTGAAAGACAGATTATTGTGGGGTCAAGTTTACTTTCAGCAGAGCACCATGTGTATGGATTGGTTGCTCCCGTGATGTTAGGCTATGATGATATCCTTCACATAGGCAAGGTCAGGAGGAGAGCTAGTATATTCTTCTTGTCCGTGAGATTCAAATTTTCAACTTGAACGTCGACGCGAGGAAATATTTGCGGGGCATCTGGCGAATCTAACACAAAACACACAGGCAACCAACGCAGACGAATTAGCCACGGTGGGATGAGTTGATAGTATTGTCTACGCTCACGGTATCCCCGAGAGGGACAATCCAGATAGGTAGTCTGGTACAGATGGAATGATAAAAACACGAGGGTCGCACGTAAGTGTGATGCACACAGCCGACACCGTTTATTTACTAGATTATTCACAGACTAGTCTAGTCTATATGCTATACACGCGACGAACAAAAAGTGCCGGCACCGATATAGTTCGCAAGGTGAAGCACAACGGTGTGAGTATGCATATAATTTTTCCAGGTGTCCCAAAAAGACTATGGGTATACCTCGAAAGGGTAGTTGGGTGTTAAGTCCACAACGGTCCAAGCCGACACACGACGTTCCACCGCGCTGGCTCTATGTAGGTTGCGCCGTGTTCTTTTCGTTGGGTGCCGTTGCATCTCATCTCCCCCCGTCCGTACGCCTCCACTCGTGCTTCGTGTTTCGCGTTACACCCCGGGCCGTAGGGCTAGTACATTTTGATCCGCTTGGGATATCGTCCATCCCAAAGAAATCTATAAGGTGCGCAAAGAAGCGCTGGCCACACACTGCTGTCACACTGCTGTGCGCCCTTGCACGCTTTGGTTTCGGAACAGAATTCGCATGTGTCCGCATTGTTCGCGCACATGCAGCAACATGTGTTGTGTGAGCTTTGCATGAACACGGGACATTTGTATCGCATGAGTACGCACGAGCGTTCCAACGAGTTTGAGTCTGAGGTACTAAGAGTCTCCTTGGATACTACCGCGCGCAACAACCTTAGAGACGATGAAGAGTTGTAGCGCTGCTGCATATCAAGAGCCTCGTTCGTTTTTGTTCGGAAAGTCACGGTTTGAAAATCTTCGAGGATCCGAGAAGATCTGTCGCTGGCTCTATCTCGAATTGTACCTGCTCTATATCCACCGCCCTCAAGCACCCACTACTTCTCCCTTCTCCCTCATTCTCCTCCCACAACTTTTACGTGGACGAGAGTGAACATGGCCGAACCTGGACCTTCCGGTACCGCTATTCCGGCCACGAGCGAGGTCCCCTTCTTTTCGAGCCTCCATGGCGAGCGACGCCGGGCCGAGCGCCAGATCGATCGACGAGATCTGCAAGCCGCCGTGAGGTACGGCAAGAAGCAGCTTGCAAAGCGAGATCCGGAAACCGGTGCGATCAGGTGGAAGTACACCTACGCGGACATTATCTACATCACGGACGAGACTTCGACTCAAGAGATCACGTCCTGGGTAGCGCCTATCGGCATCCCCCATGCCAAGCTTACCTTGAAGCAGATCGGGGAGCATGAAGCCGCGAAGCAACGCCTGAAGGACGACCCTTCCCTTTGTACCTCCCACAGCGTCATCGTTGTGGATCAGTCAGGATCCATGCGAGAGACCGATGTTGCTGATTTCTACAATCGGTCTCAGGCGGTGTTTGGAATGCTTGCGACGGATTTCGTGGCGAAGCCACGGCTCTCTGGGGACGCGACTGACACAGATGTTGTGAGCCTTGTCGTGATGCGAGGGTCGGCTTACGTCGCGGTCGAGAGGGAGCCAATGGGTCTCATGCTGTACAATAAATTCGTCAGCCTTCACGACACCGGCGCGCCACAGTTTCACGGCAACTTTCTGCCCGCGTTGGACATAGCTGAGGAGCTTCTCAAAAGCCAGACCCACGGCGAGTGTGCTCTGTCTCTGCTGTTCCTCTCTGATGGCCGGCCGAGTGACTACAGCTATGCCAACCACGTGGGCATCACCACCAGCTACCCGGAAGTGATAGAAACCATCGTCGGCCGGGTGAGAAATCTGGCGGAAGTGTTTGGGGAGCAGCTGTCCGTCGTGACTCTCGGATTCGCTGGACCGGAGCAGGATTTTACTGTGCTGGAGAGCATGGCCGAAGCTGCCCGCGACGCAGGCGCGCAGGGAAAGTTTCATCGACCGGAGCTGTCGTCAAGGGGCCTTGGAACCGCTATCGCCGACAGCATTTCGTCCCTGACGGCCACCAGGCTTCGCATCACCACGCTGGCGGGTGGTAATATCCAGCGCCGCGAGCTACGGCAAGTGGAAAGGGAGGCCCCCGGCGCTCACTGGGGTCGCGCGCCTACCACAGCCCAAACGGGGGACGGCTGGGTGGTTTATTGGAGCGGAGTTGAATGCTACGAGTTCTCTTTGTACGCCTTGAAGAACTCCGGAAGTCCGTGGGTTTCGGTGGATCTTTTCTCAGAGGAGGCCAACGGTATCGCGATCCGTAGCAAAAGCCTGGGACAGGGTGCCGAGCGTCTGGTGTTCGGTCTGCAGGTGTGCGCATTTCATCTGCGGCTCTCTTGAGGGACTCAAGCAGCATCCTTTTCAATATCTTGTACCCTTTGTTTTATCAATGAACACCCCGTTGACAAGGTCCATGCTACTTCTCAGGCTCATTATGATATGTACGTTGCTGCTTTGTGCGGCCGCAGAGTTCGTGTACTTTCGTTTTCTTGGCAATCCACAACGAACGGATCCATCCTCCCCGGTAGCACATGTACACAAGGCCACTCACTGCGCCAGCAGTCAATACGACCCCGGTTTCTAACTACGAACTGTCTTCCCTATACGTGCATTTACAACGATCCCTGTGCGTCTCTCTTTACACTCACCAGGAGGTTGACCTGCGCAGTGGTCAGCATGTGGGGCCAAAGATGGTGGCTAAAGAGAGCAAGCACATCGGTGACGAGAACAACAAAATCCAGTTTCACCATTCTTTCGCCTGGACCCAGCTAGAGGCGCAGCGCATCGCCAAACAATTCAACCGCAGGGTACGGTTTATGCTCCATGTCATCTTCGGTGATGATGGCAAGCATCGGGTGTGGGACATTTCGTTCCTTCCATGTTCGGTGTACACTTTCCTTGAAGGGGGGGTTAAGCGGAGCGTCCTGGTGGAGAAACTGCTCGTGGGCCGTTACACCAAGTTCAACGGCAACAACGGCTACGTTCACGGCGGGAAAGGCGACCCGGCCGGCGCTTCTGCAGCGGAACCCGCTGCGGGTTTCGTGCTAGCTCGCGCCAACGAGATGATGGGTGCCATCGACGAAGAAGAAGAAGACTCCGACGGCGATGGCGAGGTCCCCGTCATTCGCGGAGGTGACGACGACGATGACGAGGACGACGATGGTACATCCGTTGGTGCTCTGGCTGGCGAGAAGGCGGAAGGCGGTCCAACTACTTTCGACCCTGAGCCGGAGAGCTACGTGCAGGCCTTCTCCCACTTCTCGTACCGCAAAAGCCACCGCAAGATGCTCGTGTGCGACCTGCAGGGAGTCCAGTCCACCAGCTCCACCCATGAGGACCGTGCTGGCGTGTTCGAGCTGACAGACCCGGTGATCCACTATCGGTCCACGTCCGGACGTCGCCAGGTGTACGGGAGGACGGACTTGGGCAAAAGGGGCATCCGCAAGTTCTTCGGAACCCATCAGTGCAACGACGTTTGCCGCCTGCTCGGTCTTGCCAGCTGGGAATCTAAGGGACATGTGGGTGGGGATGTGCCGGGGTAAGTAAGCGAGTGGCGTCGAGTATGCATGCTGGTGTCGTATTATCGCTGTGTCTGCATCAAACAGAGCTTGGAAACTGTTGTACACAAACAGGTTTCATTCTCTGTTTCACGGGGAACGAATGGTGTAATTAGGCCCCTTTTATCGCTCTCTCTGAATCATACAGAGCTTGGATTCTGTTGTAAACAAATTTTTTCCGTGCTCTGTTTCATGCAGAACGAATGGTGTACAGGTGGTCCTTTTTCATTTCACCCCCCCTCCCCAACCCGGCTATACGTACCTCATGGCAATGACTGTGTACGTATAGGTCCCCCCCTCCGCGTCCCTTCCTCCTCTTGTCGTGCAATACTTCGGAATCCAGAGTTTGCTCGTGTATCCCTTCGAGTTGCAGCGAAACGAACTGACAGATTTCGGGCCTATGACACGTTTCACCGTGTCACCGCGTGTCGGCGTGTCCCTGAAACGGTCTTCCCAGTGTTGTAAGACAACCAAGCCCTGAGCGCGACGTGAGTTTTTGTTGTGGGTGTTTTGCAAACCCTTGTTTCAAGGACTTCAAGGCATGCGTATCCCCTGAGCCCTGCCTACTGCGGATCTTTGGTGTTCTCTCCTCTGGTTCTTTCACCCGCCTAATTAAGTAAGTCCCGCCTTAGCAGGGCGAGCATTGAAGTTGCCTTTGGTGTGGGAGGTACTGACTCTATATTGCAGTTAAACAGTACAATAGATAGGACTACAGTGGTGCCGAGTCCGTGTCGTCTTTGAAGTTTTCGGCGTTGTTCTCAAGACGCATAGTCTGGCGTCTTCAGTAACTGACGACTCGGAACTACCCCTTTGTGATTGATTGCTCAATGGACCCGTAGAATAGGCTTGTTGACCTGCCTAAATAGCTGGCAAGAAAGAGCACAACCTTTGCATCACCAGTATGATAATCATCTACTAGCATGTCTGTCCCTCTCGGTTTGCCACAGCCCGGCGTGCACCTTCACCCAGGTGATATGAGTCGGCGTGGGTCGTTGTTAAGCTTAAGGTTACCACGGGTTGTTTATTTCGACAAGTCAACAACAGAAAGAAAGGCGGCAGCTCTTCTAGGAGAGCCTGGTTGCTGGATACTTTATCGTTCATTTGTAGGGTGTCAAAACAAGTGGCGGTCGCAGCGGACGTCGTAGCTTTCAGAGATAACTGGATCCCTAATATCTCCGAGCCACGACCGAACACAAGTCGCACGCGGGCAAAGGTGCGCGTCCCCAACTGGTCTTGTGCTACAGGATGTATATCGTCTTCGACGTCGAGGAGCGGAGGTAGAGAGTTGGGGCGACAACTCGACTCTTACTTTCACAATGCGCGACGATAATGCCCGACTTGGCGACGTCAACTCGATTCAGCTCAATCCTGGCAATCTGTTACACCGTCGTCCCATCTCCTGGGCGGCCGTCTATCGCACCTTCGGTGTATGCCTGACGCACCAGGGACCACAAAGCGGGATGGACGTGTTTTTCTCCAGCTTGGCCCCCGCCCTCATGTCTCCTTTTCTCTCTTTGCAAACCTAACGCTTCGTTCAATGTTGGAAAGCCCCCCTGCAGATCGGTTTGGTTGCTTGCACATCGTGCGGTGCTCGGTCTACTCCAGAGAAAACATTGATGCCGGCCCTGAAACCGACAACCCACTTTCTTCTTGGCAATGTACTGTAGCTCCTCTGACACCTCTTTTGTCGGTCGTGTTCGTAACGAACCCCACTTTTCACTTTTTAATATCACGCTGAAGACAGTGTGTGATACGATTGCATCCAGTCCGCTCGCAGAGCTAGGCGTGTTCGTGGCGCGTACGAGCATTACGCGCGCTCGTCCCAAAACGAAACATGTGAGCAAAACCTGCACTAACGTGCCAAAACGTGGGACATTTTACTTGGGAAACATGAGTCCATTCATTCTGCACATCGTAACCTCATCCACTCCGGCCCGGGCAACGCACGCGCGCCCAAAGGCTTAACCAGCGGCAACGGCGGGCCTCCCAAGTTTCAGGGTACCCTTCCTTCACCGTATCGCGCCCATGCAAAGCGACCGTTGAAACAGCGGCCTCACGCAAGGAACTCTACGATGTTCTACATACGCGGCGGGAGATAGAAACCCGTCCATTCGTGATTCCAATTGCAGGGCCCATGGACCAACACAGCTACGGGGGCCCCCACCACATCACCCACATCACCAAAAACTAAACACAAAAATTACACATTTGAGCAACCCCCACAATGGACTGGCGAATCTACCTGGCTAATTGGATGCATACGCCGCAAAATAGCTGGTAAGAGCTTTTCAGACACCCATACATAGGCATTCACAAATCGAGGTGCAGCTCTACATACAAGCACGAGGTGTACGGCTCTCTCGCCCCAAGCGCTTGCCCGTACAGTTGACGGGAACTCACGGGATTTGCCCGCCAATCAGCTGCGCAAAGCACGGAAGGAAGGAACCAGTTCTCTCGCAAGAAAGGAATCGACACGCGACCAAAAACAACGGTCGAATGAGGTAGGGCCGGCCGCGGGCGGCACCAGCACACGGTAGCGAGCGGCAATTTGTCCGACGCAACCACTCCCTCGCTGCCGTCGTCAGCATTCACGTCCCGAAACATTCTCGATCGCCCTCTACAAAACTTCTCGGCCGTGCGCGAGGGCCCGCCTCGGGTCCGGCACGCCAAGGTCGCTCTCAAGCGAGAATGTACACATAGAGCAACGCAGTGACGTCACCCATCCTCTCTCACTCTCCTTGGTAAAAGATGAACGGGGGGGGGGTCTTGCAGCATCCCAACAGCAGTCGCCCTGTACAGAGGAGACGTGGTCAACGGGTCATGGCTTAAGACACCGTTGCCCGCTCGCCCCCCGCGTGCTGCGGCTGCTCGAACGGGCGGGCGTCTTCGTGCACGAAGGCGTTGAGCATGGCCAGGGCAACTTCCGGCTGGTCCATGGGCACCTGTGCAACACCGGCGCACAGCCCAGCAAAGGCAAGTCGTCAGAGTGAGTCAAGCCACCTTGCACGCTGAAAAGTTTCTAAAAATGGCCACAGAGGGCTCGTATTGGCAGTGATTTCCAGTCTTGCTTGTAGTTGTGAGCGCGGGGGGGGGGGGGGTCTTCTGATTCGCCTAGCCAGGCCGGTTTCTGTGGTGACGAGACTGACCAAACGATCGTGCTTGAAACATATCCTTGGACGCGCATCTCTACAAAGATGATGTGATAATCGCACGAGCAACCCTTCCACAGCAACCAGGATCTCATTACATGTAGGAACAACGGTCCAGGGACATGATGCGCAAGCATCGAGGTTTGGTCGCGATCTTCATCACCAGGAGGATGCATCTCTCCGACACACACCACAACCCACCATGTGTCCTGCCTCGTACACTTGAAGGAACGTGAGTCCGCCATATGACCTCGACAGGCCGGCGGCGGCGGCGGCGGCGTCCGTGCTCCATTCAATCTGCGGGGCCGCTCGGAAGCCGTCCCCCCCGGCCCAGTCCAAGCTGAGGGTCCACGCCTCGTTGCCCCTGGCAAAGAAGAAACAAACACAATGGCCACGTTGTTTAGCCGGCGTAGGACAGACAGATAGAGCAGCTCTGTTGTTTCGTACGACGTAGCACGAATACCGTAGGTCGCACCCCTTGGGCCGATTTTCAAAGCTCCACTACTCCACAGGAAAAGTGGTGAGGGTGCCGAAAATGGCAGCGTTGGAACCGTCTCGTCGAGAGCTCTATGAAAATAAATACTTCAGTTTCGGATTCTCTTCGTCGTCGAGTAGTCGAGCTTTGACAATTGGCCCAGGGGGTGTGATATCTTACGCAACCTGCGGTAGCATATCCTCCACGATACATTCGCATGCAAGGCATGCCACTGTGCGACATGAGGGGGGTGGGGTGGGGGCATCACACCGAGGCATCAGCCAACGTGTTCGCTTTTGTTGACCGTCATCCACAAACATCCCATGTCCCGACCCTCCTCTCACATGTAGTTGCAAATCCAGTCGCAGTCGCCGGCTGCAGACAAGGCATGAAGAGGGGGAGAGATGGGGTAGACGTGCGAGCGAGGTGGCGGTGGCGGGAAGGCGGGGGTGCAGAGGGCGCTTTCAATGTGCAAACAAGGCGCAACACGGGTGAGCGAGGAGAGTGACAGAGATAATAGTGATATATATTGCTGAGTGTGCGTTCACGTGGGTTGGGCATTTTCTTTCGTTCCCGCACGCCACTACACGAAACGGTTAACTGGCGGTCGCTTTTCCCACAACCAATCGGACAAGTCTCTCTCTATCCCCTCCTCACCGTAGATAAGCACGGACACGCCGTCCTCCAGCATCGGCCCAATGAGCCCGTCGAACTCTCGCATCCAGTCCCCGCTGAAGTCAGAGTTGACCTTCATGTTGCAAGACTCCCACGGTGCACTGTCATCACGCACGTTAAGGGCCTCGCGGGTGCTGTCCAGCCTCAGGAACTTTCATTCCATTTTGTTCCGTTCCGTTCCGTTTTTTTTTTTTTTGAGCAGCGGGTTGGGAATATTGAGGGGGGCAGGGTGACATCCGGTGAGTGTGGCATGTACGATAAATGAAGAAAAAATATGGGTGTGCGCGAGAAAATACGGTATGCAAGGGGGACGGGGGGAAGGAAGAGAACATGCGGTCCTGAAAAAGACAGCGTCGATTGACACAGCGTTTCGGTCGCCGCGTGCGACGCTTGTTAGACATGTGGCAAAAAGCAGCGGGAGTGACAGCAGGAGAAGCCGTTTGCTCGCAAAGCTAGCGGCAAGTCTGTGGGAAGTAACACACCGGTAATACACCAAAATCGACTAAACGTTCGACTATCTACCAGCCTTGTTTGCCGAGAGGCGGGAGGGAGGAGGCGGGCACCCCTGATCTGTATCGTACCTTCTCGATGGCAGAGAAGTCGTAGCACAGGTCTTGGTCGCCGCACTGCTTCCTGTTAATTCGTGTTCAGGTGTTTTCATGACGGCCGACGATGCAGGGGCGCGAAAGAGGCCACAAATAATCATCGAGGCGATCAATGGGTTGGCAACCCGCACCACAAAGAAACTACAAAGGCGAGATTCGTATCACGCGGGATTCGAAGAAGAAAAATAAAGTTCCTGGTGGCGCGAACGACGGTACAGTACGCGGTGTGAGAACATCTACTGCACGAAGACGGAGCAAGCCAAAACTCGGCACCTGGCGTCGACGCATTCGCTCAGTCGGCGGAGACAGCGTGTACCGCCCAACATCCAATACAAGTCGAGCCGTTTGCATGTGGTCAAACGCCACATCACTGCACATCTCATCCCATCTGATACAAACGGACAAGGTAGCGATTCAACACAGAAGCAAGAGGTGTGCCCACACGATAATAGCACCACCAGCAACAGCCACGACCATGGCCTGCACCAGTATCCCAACGACAACAAACACAGCAGCACTGCGGTAGCAGCGCTCACCTGACATCGTACGGGTTAAGGCCGGAGAGCATGTACGGCGCCACCATGTGCTCGTCGCAGAAAGACTGAGCATCGTCGCACATCTGTTCCCCACGCGCCCGCAACATCAACGCAGTTCGCGCGCAAAGCATCGCCAGGCCAGCAGGGTTTACGCCAGTGGGGCGGACGCCACCCAAAGGTATATCATGTCGAAGCGGCGGCGAGTGAGAAAGCACGTCAAGGCCGGGAAGGGGCGCGATAGGGGAAAGGCTTTCGATCAGATCCCGAACTTGGTTCGTGTCGATTCCTCGGCCGGCGATAGCGCCAGTCCCCGAAGTCAACCGACTTCTGGTTGATTCACGCCACAAAAAAACTACGCACCCACACGAGCACACCCACGGATGACCACATGCCGACCTAGAAGACGTTTCGTCGCGTTTTCAAGCCAGGGGACTTTCATCGGAGTTCCGGCTACAAAGCGCGGTCGATGCCGAACACACAACACACACACACACACACACACTCACGGGGTCCTAGATCATGGCCTTTCGAAGCGTTCTGTTTTCAACCGCCAGAAGCCTGCCGTATTTTCATTGGTCAGCCGGATAGCGAGGTCGATGCCAGCAACAAAAACACACCGACACACAAACCACTTTGTTCGTCACACACGAACACATACATACCTCCGGCACGTCTTGGCACCCGTCGATGAGCGCCACACACGCCGGCGTGTACGCCCGCATCATGGCCGCGTCCTTTTCGGACACCGCCTTCACCCCGTACGGGTTGTCCACTGCCATCTGATTGGCCACCGGCCGGCCACAATTAACAGGGAGAAGAAAAAAACAAGACGAAAGCGGTGGATAACCCCTTACGTGACTGAGTTGACCTGACATGTCTTACATGTGTGCACACAATCGCGGTCCGTGAAGAAGAAGGTACACACACGAATAACGGCGGCAAGGATGATACGGCCATAAAGGAGATAATCATGAAAGTGTATTTGTAATCTTTCTGCAGACAACGCAACCGGAACTTTGTAGAGGGGTTGCGTGGGGGAAAGGGAGGGGCGCGGCCCAGCCACGTCTCGAGCGCGGATACCAATCGCAGTCGACGAAGGACAAGGTGATGCTGCACCGAATGCTGCGTTAGGCACCACACTTTCCCAACCTCGTTATCAATACAGCAAGGAACAGCTGCCCATTCCAGAAAGCCATCGACCGAAGACAGTTCCAACAACGCCCTCAACGTATCGAAATCCCCTCCCTGCCGCGTCTGGAAAATCGGTCCAGGCGGTGCGGTATCCAATGCCGCTCAGAGCGGGGCAAGGGAGGGCGGAGGGCGTATGAACTTCGAGCCACAAGCAGGGATACGCTGGCTACATCCCGCAGTACCACAGCAGTAACGCGCACTTGGGTGTAGAAGGAGTACTGTATCGCAGGAGACGTGAGGCCGTTTCCGATGCCCATCCCCTGAAGATTGATCATGGAACCCTCTCCGCTCCTGCGCCATCAACGGTAGCATCAACGGTAGCATCAAAAGGCATTGGGAATCGACCGGCGGGAAGCGGCTGGGTCAGACAGACGGTGGAGAGCAAGTTTGGTGCAGCAAAAGGTCGTGGAGGTGCATCCGCCGCCGAGCACGAGCAACGGAAGGAAGAAAAGGGGGACCACCAGGGGGGGGGGGGGGGGGGGGGGGGGGGGGGGGGGGGGGGCTAAAGGT